GTCAAAGCAGAAAAGTTTCAGGAAGAGAGGAGTACTCACAGTGTGAAGCAGATATGTGAGATAAGGGCTACGAAGCAGGCATTGGATTCGGTAAATAGGAAGCCCCTAACAAGAATAGTTTTTGTGGAATGATGAGGGTCAGAGGAGAGTATGTTCAGGAGTGAAGGGAAGTGGCATTGGGTATAGTCTGTATTTTCAAGGCTGAGAGGGAAGCCTAGAGTGCTACCTGGAAGCTGTATGGACATAATAATACTGAAATGTGAATATGTGGATAGGCTAAGGTAAAAGACCCAGAGAAGATCTTCAATTACTCTTCAGCAAATTCATTCATTCATTCAGTCAGCCACCAATTATTTAATACCTACTCTGTGTTTTGCTCAGCTCTAGTTGCAGAGGATAAAGCAGTAAACAAAGCCTCTGACTTCAAGGAGTCAACAAGTCTGATGGAAAAGACAGACGATAAACAAGTACATAAATAAAGAAGAGCATTACAGACTGTGATAACAAAAACGGGGGGAGATGAGACAGCGATTAACTGGAGGAAGCCACTTTGGATACGATGGTCAGGACAGACCTCTCTGAGGAGGTGATATATCTGAGCTGATACCTGGAGGATGAGAATGAATCAGCCACATGAAGAGCTGGGGCTCAAGCTTTTCAAGCAGAGAGAAGAGCATACAGACCCTGCAGTGGAAAGTGGCTTGGTCTGGGAACCAGGAAAAGGCCAGTTTAAACTGAATCACATAAGTGAAGGAGGAATAGTGGGAAGAGACGAGGAAAGAAGGTAGGAGTCAGATGATAGATGGCCTTGTAAATAAGTTTTTTTTTTTTTTTTTTTTTTTGCGGTACGCGGGCCTCTCGCTATTGTGGCCTCTCCTGTGCGGAGCACAGGCTCCGGATGCGCAGGCTCAGCGGCCATGGCTCACGAGCCCAGCCGCTCCGCGGCATGTGGGATCTTCCCGGACCAGGGCACGAACCCGTGTCCCCTGCATCGGCAGGCGGGCTCTCAACCACTACCAGGGAAGCCCAATAAGTTATTTTTTTATTCAAAGGAAATGAGAAGCTATTAAAGACTTTAAGGGGTAGAATGCCACAAAGGTATTAGTTCTAACTGGAAATTTGCACTGGATGTCAAAAAT